CTCCATTATCTGACCCACATGGCATCCACCTTGACCTCTTACTTGACCTCTGGCACCTCCCCACCCTCCTTTCCCATGCGGCCATGTGATTTGCCATCCCAGCAGGCCCAGTGCCTGTCCCTGCTGGCCACAGTGTGTTAATGACGATCACACATCACGGTACACGGCATCGTTGAAACACCGGGACGGACTGTGCCTTAGGCTCGCTGCCGCCGCCGCTGCAGATTCATTTTTCATAACTGTTTTTAGGGCACATTTTAACCACAGCGCTAAGTTTATCTCGTCTGTGCAAGCCTGCCCTGAATATGCCGCATGCGCAGATTGCTAAATGCAAGCGCATAAAGATCTTTATAGGTGTTACTGCGCCGGCAATCACGCTCCTTTAATTGGAACATAATTAGAAGTGGGGATCTTGAAAGATCAAAGACTGCAGGCACGTGGGACTTGCATCGCTCTTCAGAGATGTGGGGTTGCCTATCTTCTATTACATACTAGCACACTTGTAAATATGCCGGTAATATCTGATCTAAAATAAATTCCGTCTCCGCTGTTCGTTTTAAAAAATCATCATCCGATTACTAAAAGGAGCCCTAATCTAATCTGTTTGTGTGGTTTCATTTCAGTTGCACTCCACACAACTTTCAGGGTTCTTCAGTGCTTATGTATTTTGCATTGTGTCTGCCATGTTCAAAAACAAGTGTGCACCATTACTGCTGACTAGTTTTTGGTTATATATTAAATAAAAAGCATAAAATACTCATACAGAAAGTACTTTCTGCCAGAAGAGAGGATAAGCAAACAAAAACATCAACCTCATTATCCTAACGTGTCAATGGGAATTATTTAGTGTCGTCTAAACCTTAGACTTCAAATGAAGTCGGAGGTCCTTACTTGATGTGCAATCAATACACATTCCCATTCTGCTTCCTGCTTTTCAGGTTGGAGACAGTTTATTTGAACATTTCTTTTTTATCTCATATCTCATGCTAATCTGTTTCCCCAGTGTACCTTCTGGAAATGAGCTTTGAGATGCTGCTTTGAGACAGCTGCAGAGGGGCAAAACTGCGTGTCTTTAGTGCAAGGAATAATAATCAGAGACGTCTGTGTAAACATGAGAGCTCAGGGTGAGAAAGGAAGGTAACACACTTTTTTACATTGTAATTAGGCTGATTGTTCGACTATAGACAGCAGGTACCACAGTGGCTGGGAAACTGAACATGTGTATGCGCATATTTTTCTAACCTCTGAGACCCTGAGCAATACACCTTTCGAGAATATTTCACCTATGAGGTAAAACTTTTGAAAAGTTGGTTAATTAAGAAAAGTGCCAAAACTTTTTATTATGAAATTTCAGATATTTTGTGTTTTTTTCCAATAAATGTTAGGCAAACATGATGTGTAAGTGTATGCTTGGATTGCATTATTCTATGGAATAAATCAGCAAAGCTTCACAGCTCCAGGCAGTTGTGGGTTCAATTCCCACTCTACTCCCAGTGTATAATTAATTCTGTTCTGATAAGGTTGTGCCAAGATTTCATTAGGCTATGTGTGCTTTATGGTCAGTCGGTCTGTCTGTCTGTCTATCCATCTATTCACCCACCTATCTACAGTGGTACCTCGGTTCTCGAACAAACCAGTTTGACTAAGAACTCGATCTGAATATCAGAAGTTGAAACCTAATATAAATTGTACGCGCCAGGAAATGAGTCATACTGTACTACAATGCAATTTTTACTTGAATGCCTTCTTCACAGACTGGACGATTAACCAAATAAAGCAGCGCAACATTACAGTAACTAACACTAAATAAATCACTAACTTACGTGTACTATTCGAGCATTTATGTCATTTATTTAAACTTTATTTTACCAGATAAATTAACTGAAAACCAGTTCTCACTGCTTTACGTGATATTCGGGAGAAATAGCAGATTACGCATCGGAACAAGCGTCATGCGTGTAACTAAACTCTTCAGCCAATAAGGGCAAATGTGTGTCGTCACGGAGGCGGTTCCAGTTTGTGTAGCCGGGTGAGAGGTCGCAATGCATCTAACCGTAATGCATTGCGTCAGAATCAGAATGCGTTGCTTTAAGACAGCACTGTAAGCAAGCCAAACGCACCTAATGACCGGACTGGGGAAACAAACTGAAACGCGGACTTAATACAGAGGACTAATGACAACAACCAGAAACAGCTGATCATATGGGGATCCCACATGAGGTTAACGAGGGGGCGTGGCACACGGATGGGGCGGACGATCGGGGCAGGACAGGGGTAATGTTGGGATAAGCTCTTTATCGTTTTGGAAGCCATTAAGAAAAAAATGCTCTTCTTGTTTTATCCTGTTCATTTTGTGTTTAAATGCTCAAAAAAACATACTTAGGTGTAATTTTGGGGGACGGGAACCAATTAATTGGTTTTCCATTATTTCTTATGGGAAAAATTCGATCAGAACTCAAACTTTTTAGGATTTGAGCCGGAGTCCGGAATAGATTAACTTCGAGAACCGAGGTACTGTACCACTGTATCTTTCTAATCTGTCTAGTTTACTTGTTTGTATGTTGCTGATTGTTCGACTACATACTTGTTTGTATGTTGCTGGGATTTTGGTATAATTAATGGAGCCATTAACACAAAAACATAACCTCTTGCACAGGATTTATTCTGAATTACATATTCATGTGAAAAAAAGGCACAAACCCAGTAGAGCTATAATCCAGTGGTTCTGCAGCCTTTTCAAAGGTACATGTCCATTACCTTACAGTGAAATTAAGTGGAGGACTGGTCCATACATTTCACATGGTTAATTAATGCAGTGATCATTAATTACATACGCGCCCACTTCACATTAAACATCACAGGCAAAAATGTACATTACAGAGGCTGTGTTAAAACTATGTTTGTGTTTGTGTCTGTGTGGTCCAGGTATACCTTACCTTGTGGGGACCAAATGTCCCTATAATGTGATGAATACTTGTTTTTTTTTTACCTTATGGGGACCAGTTTCCTGGTCCCAAAATGAGAAAACTGTATTTTATAAAAATTCATAACTGCAATGAAAAAAATAAAAATGCAAAAACCGTTGTATTTTGTTTGGTTACTTGTGGTTATCGTTAGGGCTGGGGTAGCATTTTTCCCATAGAAATGATTACATGATTGTGTGTGTGTGTGTGTGCGTGTATCCAAAGGTATATGGTGAATAGCATCTGTTACATCAAAAAGAAGATTGCATTTTGGCTTTTTTGCCAAACAGGGACATTATGATTAAATAATATTGTCTTTATTTAGTTCCTCCAGACCCATGGGCTGGCCCAAAACACACGTACTGACACATGTAGTCCTTTCAAATAGTTTTGTTATATTAATGACATGAATGCTGTTGGGAGGACCTTGCGTTGATGCAATTGTAATACCCACAGTGCAACCTCAACTTTAGCATGCTAATTATCACCTTTTCATTGCCTTGCAAATGGAAACATGCATTCTGTTTGCGTCCCAATTATCATTGAGCATCAGGAGGAGGAAAATTGCGGAGGGTTAGGGTTTGTTTTGAATACTTAATGGGCAAATCATCACTAAAGCTTGTGCTTCAGGAGATGAAAACAAAATAAAAACTGTAAAAAAAGGTAGTTGTCTGCGTTCCACTGAAATGTCCATTGAAGAACATTACAATTAAGTACAGCATTACAACCTCAAAAGCAGTGGCAGTGAAATCTCTGGGGACCATCACAGTGTGACTGACATGACCTAATGACTCTGTCTCGCTGTAAATCTGGAAGCTGAAGTTGTCTTTGCATTTTCCCTAGTTTCTCCCACAGCATCCTTACACAAAACAATGACCCTTACGGTTTCCTTATTTGTGACCCTGTGAGTGTGTCGGTGTAAGATGCAGCAGCACTGATTTCATCTTCATGCTTGTAATGAGAAATACTGTTCAGTGACTGACCACGTCATACAAGAGCAGGCTGGAAACTATAGGGATGTGTACGACATCACAGAGGGGCGAAGTGGACTAATCAATACATAATAAGTCAGAGGAGACTCCCTGTCTTATCCCTACCAGCTCCATGCCTAAAAGCCACATCACTTTATCAGGAAAGGCCTTATGGAATACAACATGGAAAAATAGAATCCTTGTGCTTTGTATTGAGGTGCTTTACTCTACCTGGCATATTCCTGTACAGAACTCAATACTCCGTCTAAAAATAACCAAAGTACTGGCCTGTCAAAACCAATTTGGATTCCTCCCAACCCAACACTTCCCAGATGGCTCTGCACAGACAAGCGCTTCCTAGAAATGGATGTGTGTTCTGTTGTTGGAAGCCAGCAGACATTCCATGCAGCAGGAGTAAAGGAAGACCCCCCCCCCCCCCATAGTGCACAGGCGCCTGCAGACACACAGCAGAGCTGATGTTCAGGCATCTCGGTGCTCAGAGATACGCACCTGTGTCCAGTCCCCAGCACAGTAGCTGCCACAGATAGATGGTTAGAAGACTGGAATTTTAACACCAAGATAAATATGTTGTCAGCCCACTGAGGTTAAAGGAAGTATCTTTTAAACCTTTCATTACACCGACCTGCACCATTCACAGAAGTTGCCAGGCTCGATTTGTGCACCTCCATACGCTGCAGGTGTGGTAGCAGGCCTGCCCCTTTAACTGTTTGTAAACTGTGTCGGCATGGCGATGACCCCAATGTCACTAGGAACACACCTCTGAGTTTAGAAGTGTCTGGGAAGTGGGACATCCTTCCTAAGCTGCTATATTGTAAATTAAATTACAATGACAGCCAGTTAAAGGAAAGTATAGGGGATAAAATCATATTACTATGTAGTCATATTAGTAGGAGGTAGCAAAAAATGCTCAGTCTTCTTAAGACACTCCCTTTAAGGTGACTGACATAGCATTAAATACGGCCTGCCCTATATTAGCCACGGAACGAAGCCATTCATTATTTGCGGAGGCCTCTCTCGCTCGTTCCCTCGGGGGGGCGTGGCGGACGCAAACTGGGGACACGGGAACTTTTTGTTCTGACACTTTTTGGTAGAACGAGGCTGTATGAACAAGAGCGAGGAAGTCCCAGCTGATGGTCCCGTCACCCACCCAAACGAAGGCAGACATCCCATAATAACTGTAAGTAGACTAGTCCGTCATGATTATCGCTGTGACGGCGACAGTTCACTCCGCGCGCGGTTCACAGGGAATGAATAAGCTGCTTGGGAATTAGCTGCGTCGGAGTCTGATGAAGACTGTCCTTCATTCGCTGTCAGCATAAAGCAGAACCGAGGGCCTGCATTTAATGGCTCTTAATGAGAGTGAATTATGTATAATCAGCAGTAGCGGTGTTTAATGTCGAAGGGGATGACTCAAATTAGAAGCGATCCTCTGAGTGTGCACTTAAACCTGCATGGGCAGGCTACCCGTCCCGGCCCGTTTAGGGGGAATCATAAAACCGGGAAACTGACCTTGTCCTTTATGAGACAGTAGGAGGCATAGCAGCCACACGGACACGGGTGATTTTGCAATCGATCGATAGCCTGGTCCCACTGTTAATGAAACTCAGCTGACCCAGATTGAGCTGATTACACCGTCAAGGACAAGCTGGGTCAGAGATGGCAGGATTTGTGGGGCTTTGGGGGTGTGCACATTGCATCACCTAATTGAACTTTCCAATACTTTTTGGTCTTTGGTTTTATTTTATGGGGGGGGGTTGATCCTGATTTTGACTTACTGCTAATACAGCATAAAGTTTCATTTCAGCCATGTGACCTAAACGGCAACTACGACTGGTCCTGCTCAGCCACCAATCATCTTTTAGTATCGATCCACATGACAAAGTAAATTTATAAAACGTTATTACACAGCCACAGCATGAAATTTCACAGTGAGAAGGTGGTGCAGCCCAGCCCCAAGAAATTGGGACAGACTGATGGAGTAGGCACTCTCCACAATAAAGGAGATCAACAGTGTGCAGGACACCGCAGGTTCTCAGCATCTTCCCCACAGACAGAGTTATTGTAAAACAGCTGCAGGACTCATAAACTGACCACTGGGGGGGTAACAAGCATATCTGTGCCATCAGCTTAAACTTGAGCCAAGCCATGCTGCAAGGACGCAGCCGTGCTGAAGTTCAGCGTGATCCCTCTCCCTTACGGTGAGCTGCAGCGGTCACTCGATTGTGCTTCACAGCCTGTGTGCACACGTGTGTGTGTGTGTCCATGCGTGTGTGTGCACGTGTGTATGTGCGCCTGTCTGCATGCAAGTTTGTTTGTCTGCTATGTCTAGTACTGCCAGCTCACTAGAGCAACGCTGTGAGAGGCGCCGGGTTTACTTGTTAATTGTGTGTTAAACACCAACCTTGTCACAACATAGAGTCTGCAGAAACCAGCATGTGTTTAAGATGTTTTCCTCTTATCAGGCCCTTATGAGGGTGTCTATGCCCTCCAGCCAAGTGCTCCTCTCTAAATCAAAGCATAGTTGGGTCAGCTGTGTGGGCAGAAGGACGAGGTCAGAGCGCTATAACATTACATTCATACATGCTTCACAAGCCATGCTGTTAAATTCACTCCAAAACCAGAATGTACAAAATGACAATTTCACTTTGTGGGATTTGGACTTCAATTCTGAGAAATGCTTTGTGTGGAAATGCATTTCTGATAAAGAGTTACGAAGCGTTTGTATAGATAGTGATAGGGTCCATGTGATAGAGAGCTGGGGGGGGGGTCTCACACCCCCATGTACTTCAGCCAGTTGACAGCTCCACGGGGGTGCTCCAGAGAAGCGGCTCGGCGATAATCCGCGCACTGCGTCTGCACCGCAGACAGCCTCCCCTAGGGCTGCAGTCATGCAGGGTCACCCTTAACCGCGTCTGGCACACTTCTCCTCCGCGTGGGATCGCCGCGCTCTTCGGCAAGCCGCTGATGCAGCTACCCTCGGCCATCTCTTCGCTACACGCCCTATCCGTGATAAAAGACCAGGGTCTCTTTCTCGCCGTGTTTCCATGACGACGGCGACTGCCGGCATGCCTGGAGACCTTTCGCTCGATCTGTCATTTTACACGTTGCCCGACCGTCTCCTGCCTGCCACTACAGCCCTGGAGAAAGCCCCTGTAGGGGTGTCCCATGAAGACAGAGTGCAGTCTCACCCAAACTCCCCCTCACGGCTGATAGCGCTCCGACTCTGATCATACTTTCAGAGTCCGGATCCAGCTAATCTCTCAGGAGATGAGTTTAAATGATTAATGTCTCCTTACAGTTTCAGCGTCCTTTTGTCCACCAGGGGGGCACAGTGGCTCAGCCAGAAGCTCATGCACTGGATAGCTTTGTCTTCCCCACTGCGAGTGTGTGTCCCTTTAGTGTAAGAACCCGCTCTCTTCACTTGTTATTAGCCAGCAGCTAGCAGAAGTGCATTTTGTTCACAGCACACACACGTGTGTCGTTCCTTAAACCAACCACGACTTATGTCACTAATTTACCCACAAACACTCAATTATTTTGAAATTAGTCGACTTTTAACAATTTACTTTGTTCCATGCAGTAACTCATTTACACGCGTATCTCATTGATGTCACGTTACGCCTACCACTGCGTGTTGTGACCGACATCTGGGGAGAAACGGAAGCGATGTTTTAATATTTCACGCCCACCATCACGGCCACGACCAGCATCCCTTCAGAATTTGTCGGCTTGCAGTTCTTCTTCGTGAGGAGATGGGATTTGGCGCTCACACGCGAGTGCCTGCCGAAGGCTGCTCTGCGTAGCCACAGCGATGCGATGAGTCACCTGCTCTCACCCTTACTGCACGGTGTTTGTGGTCAGAAGCAAATTCCCTCTCTGGTCCATCTTCAGACCAATTTGAGCAAAGCAACATCATCCACGATGGGCGACACTCTGCTGTTGTAAAAAAGAAACAAAGAAACCTGTTTGAAAGAATCTGCCTGCGTCAAAGGCTGCAATTCAATGCTAGAAATGTAAACAAGCCTGGTTCTGGGGTTTTACTGACGTTTGTTAATAATTCATTTTATTCAAAAATACTTATGACATCAGCATGCCACTATTACAGCAAGCGGGTGAATGGGAGCCCTCTGAGTGCCCTCCCCAACATAGAGACCGGCGTTTATGCAGGTAAACGGGACGGGTCAGGAGCAAGTTTGTGAAGCGGCAGCGTGCTGCCTGAGAAGAATGAAACGAAGGAGTTCATGAATAAATAATGAGAAGGCGGTGTTTAAAGATGTCAGCAGGGCCCGCGGGCGACGGCGATGGCGAGCGAAGCGCCGCGCCGCACGGCCCCCTGTGTAATCCGGCCCTCATTAGCGTGCAGCCCGCCTCTTGAAGACGGAAACGCTAAACACAGCACTTTTCTCCCAGCTCTTCTTTTGTAACTTTCTTCTTTTCTGCTGAGGAATACACCCTTCCCACCACTGCCCCCTGCAGGCAGATTTATTTAATCATGAGAGGAGACACAAATGAGACTCATCGTAGATATGAGATACTACCCGTGAAACAGATTCGAAATAAATACATCCACCTTCCATTCGCTTCACATAGCGCGATCATTTATAAGCATTTATAAATATTATTATCATAATGTAAAACGCATTATGTCCAATGTGTGCTGTGTAATGTATGAAGTTTTGAGGGTTAAGACAATGAATCTGTGGTAACGCTGTATAAATCCTAAAGATTAATATATTTATTACATCATGTCTTCTCATTAGATGTCTTTTTTCCTTTCTTTAAAATCCTTGATGTTAATCGCTCGAAGTAATGAGATGTCAGAAAAATCTGATAATTTCACAGTAGGCCAAAAACAGATTAACATATTTTTACATGCCCGTTGGCATGTTCATCTACTACATGTCAATTGGGATCAAATGGGGGAAACGTGATGATCGACTCCTTAGTTTGAACAGACATATTCCCCAGGAGAGGGGTTTATGTAAAATGTTTGGGTATTCCACACAAACCTGTAATCAAACCATCCTATTTCAAGATGGCCACAGATTGTTTTAAACTGCCATCTGTCTGATAAGGTTAAATTAACACTTCATAGTTTTTACTATTAATATCACATTTCCTAATGAGGAATGTCTCAGCAGACACCTGAAAAAATGTAGGTCTGGATCTTTAGATAGGCCCTCTCCCTTAGAAAGGCTTCAATTAAGTGCCTTTGGGCCTGTCCAGGTCTGAAATAGCTTTTCCAGAAGAAGACATGGAGAAAAAAACACAGGACAAAAGCTGAGATGTTAATATTTCTATTTTATTTTGGGATTGGGCAACAGATTGATTTTTCTGTGTTTTGTTTTCTTGTTTTCTCTAAACTGCTATTAAAAACCAGGCATCCACACTGCTGCCAATTACGCGAAGGTCGGATCAATATGGTGCAGAGAATTTGTTTGCTTTTTTTGCCCTGAAATCGCCCTGAATCTTTAAATGCTCAAAACAAATCCATTTCCAAGGCCTGTCAGCCAAGCTATAATGTTCCCTGGTTTGGTTTCATATGCCAGAAAGTGAATCTAGTGATCGACCACTGGGATCCTTTTTAACCCAGAGATCATCAACAGTTTATCTGACTTTACCAATCAATAGTGTCCACTTGGAATTAGATTGATTGCACGGATGTGACGTGAGTACATGAGAGACAGATGCACAGACTGCAACAGAACTGTTAAGACTTTAGTAGCAAAAGGAACCAATGAACGTTTGGGATGCACAAGCCAATAACATCAATGGCAATGCAGCGTCCATGGTTTCTGGAGCATCGGGCTCCTTGGACGGTGTTTGCCACAGCGTGACAGTAGTGCCTCCATTGGTTATGCATTCCTGAAGGAGGCCTTCATCTTTACTGAAATTTACCGTAACTTGCTCAATCTCATGCTTTTCCAAAACTTTATTTTTTGCATAAATCATTAAAGGTTCACTGTCAGGGTGTGTGACAGGCAGAAAACTTTGATGACATGAAATAAAGATTAAAAAAAAAAGAAACAAAGAAATTGTGAAAGGGCAGGCCTTGTGTTCCGCAGAACAACACTGACTCCTGAAGCCCAATTAGAGATTAGAGGCTTGTTGATACACTGGGTTGAAGCACCCTGTGAACGTAATGATGGCAAGTGCTCCAGTCCCTCTAATAATATCATGGCTAAAAATACCCAGGTACAGACAGACCCTGGACCAGGGGAATGGTGCGCTGGTCACTGAGGAAGGCTTGGAACTAATGAAGTTCGGAAGCTTAAAGCATATTAAAAACATCAAAGCCCAAGCCTGAAATTAATTAGGCTCCCCTCTTCTGCGGGAACATAAACTTGCTTTGAGAATAATTAGCAAAGAGCCATCAAGCCATACCTGCATCTTCGCCTTCTCAGTCTTCTCGTTGAGTGTTTCTGTCGTGTTTCTCATCCGCGAGTAGAGGGTGTCTAGCAGGAAAGTTAATTAAGTTCCCCGTTTTGCACGTTCCTGCGTGAAGCTGTGCTTCAACAGAGGAGCAGACGCAAGCATCTACTGTAGCTCCTGATTTACATGCCCTTTTTTTCTCCGCCGTTCTCACATGCAGACCGGCATCTCTGTTGGACCTAAGCCCGTATTAAAAATTCCTACAGTATCATTCCCAGATGTAGAAACTGCAGGCAGGTAGAAGCTCACTTTAGATCATTATGAGGTTTTATTCTGTGGCAGAAGTGGCACCAATAAGAACAACAGTGTTTGGGTGGAGAACTTGTACAAAAAGACAATAAGAAATACGTTTTGCAAGCGAGATCACATTAATATGCAGGTTCTATGAGGCTTAAGTAAAATGTACAGTTTTCTAACAAAAGTTTTTACACACTTTATATCAAGAATTAAAAGATTGAAGCTCGGTTGTGTCACTTCAAGGCAATTAGCGACTCTTGTTAATTTTAATGTCAAAGGAAAGTCTGACATTCAATGAACTTAACGATCATTTGCAAAGCTTCATTAGCTGTTGCAGGCTCGTTTTTCCGTGTGAAGTCACTTCAAAGCCTTATAAACATGTATTCATTTCAGCTAATGAACTGCTCCTTCAAAACCAAACGACGATTATTAAAAATACCTGAAATTTTATTGGAGGTGAACATTATTAATTATATTGTTTACGACTTTCAGTGGTTAGACTGAGACAGAAATGTGTGGGGAAATCATGTTATAAGCAAACGTGAAAAATAACAATACAGCATATTTGTGTATCTGATCCATCCATCCATCCATCCTTCCATTTTTTGTCACTTATCAGGGTCCAGCTCGTGGGGACAGCAGTCTGAGTGGGGATGCCCAGACCTCCCTCTCACCAGCCACCTCCTGCAGCTCCTTTGGGGGATACCAAGGTGTTCCCAGTCCAGGCAAGAGATGTAATCTCTCCAGCGTGTCCTGGGTCTGCCCTGGGGTCTCCTCCTGGTTGGATTTTCCTGAAGCACCTCCCCTGAGAGCCACCCAGGAGGCATCCTAGACAGATGTCTGAAAAGACCTCAACTAGCAGAGGAGCAGTGGCTGGTCTTTGAGCCCCTTCCCAGATGTCTGAGCTCTTCTCTAAGGCTGAGCCCAGACGCCCCTCAGAGGAAATTCATTTCTGCTGCTTGTGTCCGCGATCTCATTCTTTCAGTCACTACCCAAAGCTTGTGACCATAGTGAGGATAGGAACGTAAATCGAGCTGTAAATGGACAGCTTTGTCTTCCAGCTCAACTCTCTCTCTACCACGACAGAGCTGGCTGATGCTGCACTGATCTGCCTGATGACCACAATGAACTGCCCTCGAGATGGATGTGCTGCTGCTCTTGAACCATTTAATGAAACAAAGCAGAATCTCATTCATAACAAGTATTATTATAATCATTGTCATCATCATCATTATAGTGTTCTATAGTTTTCTCCTTATTATATGGAGTGTAGTTTTCTTATTGACATAAGAAAGGGGTTAAAGTTTGTAAATATAGACCAGAAGTCATTTGAGCAATTGTCATTTGTATTCCTCTGTTTCTCTTTGAAATGCTTTTCCAATCTACCTTCAGTGCACGACAGATGAAATGAGCAGTTTTCAGCTGCAGGCTGAATGGGGATAAATGAAATGTGTTAGCAACACACTGCCTAAATGAAGTGAGCCGACGCTGCTCAGTGCATTGCTGAAGATGCACGGCAATCAAATGGAACCCAATTAATTTTCATTCCAAACAGCACTCATTCATTTTCTTTTAATTACCTTGACAGAGCCAGTACAGAGCACTGAAAAATGCAGGCCTGCACTGAGGCTACAGTCTTCAGATGGCTACAAAAGGGAAACCCATAATGCATTTGGGTATGACCAATGTGATCATCAACACTGACTCTTGTTGGCCTTCCAGTATGAGCCGTCCTTTCTTGTGGCATTTGTCAGAACAACCTTGACCCTGAAGTCACCATCATGCCAGGAAGGAATCTCCAGCTTGCCAATTGCATTTAACATCACCGAAAAGATGCAAGGCGTCATGCTTTTATTCATTTGAAACTTATCGGTTAGTGGAACGCCAGATAAGTAAAGAGAGATGCTGTGCCGTGACCTCACATCACTTAAGCTTGTCTTGTAATAACAATCCTTTTGTCTAATTCATTGACTGCACATGCAGTGATCGGCACTCGCATCCATAGTGTTTATGCCTTTTTGTTTTTCCAGGTACAACTCTGCTGTACCTCTCGTGTGTGACGCGAGCTACAACAAACAATGTCCAACACCAAACAAAGTGTGACCCAGGTGAAGGCATTTCATTTTAGACTCCAGAGCCCATGGGGGACATTAGGGAACCCCGAGTTTTACACATTAGCACCAGTGCTAGCATAGTTATTCATATAAATTGGAGATCTCTTAAGGAAGCATGCAGATGTAGCTGTTTAAAGCACATCAACTGAAAGCTATGCAAGTTGCTTTTCATAAATGTTCTGGTTAATTAAAAAGAATAACAGGGATTTTTCTGCTTTTCTTCATCTGTCTCCATCTTTCTTGCTCTTTCAGATGCCTGTTTGTCCTCCTCTCTTTGTATCTCACTTTCTCTCACACTCTGTCATTCACTCCTTCAGATTATGGCTACACCTCACCTTGTGGCTGGAACCCTTTTCATTCTTCATGCTTACTTTCATTTTTCTCTTAATGTTGCCATTTCTCATTTTTAATAATTTTCAGTTATAGAGAGGGAGAGAAAACCTCAGTCACTATTCATCATCTGTCCCAGAGGTCTCTTTTTGGCTGTCTCATCTTACGTCTTCAAGAGTAAAACAAATTAATCAAATTTAATTTGTGTAGAGCTACAACAGAATTGTTGCATGGTCCATAACAATATGCAGATGCGGCTTCCAGAGGGAATTTAAAAAAAAGAACTTTATTAGCAAAAGTGGAATCCTGGAAAATTATTCACCGATTCCCCTCTTAAGAGCAACAGTGAAGTTTTAACCCACCTAGAGTCAAACACAACAGAAAAATTAATTGGTGGAAGTACAATGTGATTAAGTGCCGTATAACAGCTTCATAAACAGCAGCAGCGTCCTTCTCTCAGTAATATTCCAGCTCTGAAGACTGAATGGAGTCATTGATCTTATTAATTGCACAGGCACTGCTGTGAGTGTCACCTATTAGCCTGCGTGAACTGCTCAAGCAGGTGAAATGGTGTATCTGATTTAATCTGGCCAGACACCATGGTCCCGCCGCAGCGCATTCAGCATTCAGGGGGACCTTTGGCCCCGTCTCGGGGGATTTAGCCAACGCCTGACTGAAGCGCTGATAGCTGCAGCTGTCAGATTTGCTTTGGAAATAACTGACAATGCATGGGGGTGAGCGCAGCCTGCCGATAGCGAGCTAGCCTGTGGCTAACAGCCGCCTAGTGGGGCTGGAGGAGGCTTGGTGGCCATCTTAGATGCTTTAGAGTCGCTTGAGAAAGTCAGCCTGGGAGTGGCTGGATATCTGGGCATAAAAGGACTGTTTTTAAAGCTGATAGACTAAGAACATGGAGTGGGATAAATCTCTGCTATGATTGCTATGGAATATTGGATAACTAGCTGATGTTTACTATCTTTGTTATGTTCTGGTTCTGGTTAGGGACTTTAAAAGGCAGGACTGGACCAAAGGCCTGCTTTCTGTTGCCCTCATAATTAAACAGTGTGACATTGTGCAGATTTAATATAGCCGAACATTAGAGAAGAGCATTTGACATTTGCGCCATCTCTTGACAAGACTTAAAGTGGAGTGTGAAGAGAATAACTCAGCAATAGCCAGATGTGATGCATATAGATGAAAAGTCACTCAATTCCCTCTCTTTTAGATGTCTATCAAGAATAAGATGGCACCATATAAGCTCATATCCCATGAAGTCAATATAATGACAGTTAACTTTTGTAGGAGCTGGCAATTGAATGAAGGCCCAGATGGATTTATCGTCCATGAGCCATTTCCCACTGGCAGCACCCTGTCAGTGTAATACAAGCCGGCAGACATGTGGGGGCACCAGACGTGGGGGCCACCACACTGGCTTCCTGTCAGTGTAATACAAGCCGGCAGACATGTGGGGGCGCCAGACGTGGGGGCCACCACACTGGCTTCCTGTCAGTGTAATAGGAGCTGGCAGACATGTGGGGGCGCCAGACATGGGGGCCACCACACTGGCTTCCTGTCAGTGTAACATGAGCCAGCGGACACTCGGGGGCGCAGGACGTGGGGGCCACCTGTTACTGGCCGCAAGTGAGATACGTGCCGTAAGTTTCGGGTACGTGCCGTAAGTTCAGGAGAATTCCCTACAGGTTCTCTGGATGTCCTGCCACTCGCCCATTCGTCAGCCGCTCCTTCGACTCCGCCTTCTGGTCCTGGCCCCGCCTCCCTCGCCTTCAGAGCAGTTTCCGGTTCACCGTCAGAAGAGGCCACCGCTTCGTCACTTCGTCTGCTCGCTTCTCGCCTGTTAGCTCGCTCTTCGTTCGCTTTGCTTTTGTATGACTGCTCGTGTATGACTGTTTTGTTCTTGGTTTCTGATTTTCGCCTCGTCCCTTATTGTACTTTCGCCCTGCTTTTGACTGCCTGCTTGGTTTTGAACTTTCGCTCGTACTCCGACTTCGCCTCTTTGATCTCCCCTCTGGATACTGTCGCTTCGGCTGTGTGTCTGTGTGTTTCACTATGTGTGTGTAAGGAGTGTCTGCCTTTTTTGTTTATTCATAAATGTGGGGATTACTGTTGCTTGGTTAGGGAGTTAGGCTTAGGCATTGTTGTTTCATTTTCCCCTTTTTTATGTTCACTTAGGATTAGCTTAGCTTGGGGTTGTATTCGGTTTTGTTTTTGTGTTTTTGTTTGTTTCTTTGGCCTTTGTCACTCCTGACGTTCGTTACACCTAGTGTTTGTAAAGTGTCTGTGAAAAACTATAAAAAAAAACTATAAAGACTCCCTTTGTGTCCCGTGTTCCCTTCTCCTACCCCCGTTTGTCCTGTCCTTCCCAATCCCTCCTTCCCTTTCACTTTGTTAGGCTCCAACCCTACACTAGAGCGTAACACACCACACTTCCTGTCAGTGTAATACGAGCTGGCGGACATGTGGGGACGCCAGACGTGAGGACCACCACTCCGGCTTCCTGTCAGTGTAATACAGTATGAGCTAGTGGACACCCGGGGACACTGGATGCAGGGGCCACCACACTGGCTTCCTGTCCGTGTAATAGGGGCTGGCAGATATGTGAGGGCGCCAGACACAGGGGTCATCACACCGGCTTCCTGTCAGTGTAATAGGACCTGCCGGACATGTGGGGGCCCCGGACGCGGGGGCCATCACACTGGCTTCCTGTCAGTGTAATATGAACTGTCGGACATGTTGGGGTCCCGGACGTGGGGGCCATCACACTGGCTTCCTGTCAGTGTAATATGAGCTGGAGAATGTGTGGGGGCATGGGACGCGGGGGCCACCACACCGGCTTCCGCATTGTGCCCAACTGAACTCGTCATACTGGCAGAATCTAGGGCCATTTCCTGAGGGATGCTGCCAGTTCCTAAATGGGCAGACATGGCAGAGTAATCATATCAGCACTGGGCCTGGGAGCAGCCGGGAAGTACCCCAGAGGTGCTGGATAAACAGCTGACCATGAACTGCGACCCCAAGCTTTATTCTCACCCAAACACATGTCTGTTTGTGTGTAAGAATGGAGAAAGGAGAGATATCCAAAGATTTCATTCTACTTCCTACCTGTACCATGACATTTGGAAGGATGATGATCAGCTATTATGGTTGAGGGTGTAAAGTTGAATCAAAGTCTGGGTAAACAGCTTTTAGATACTTTGATTTGTAAGAAGTATGAATAATAACTATGTATTAGAGAGTCCCTGCCACCCATCACCCCAGTTCCAAGCCCCCCAGTGAAGCACCTGGATTATGGGTATATTGATGGCTGTATCACGGAGGTTGGCATCGTGGTCTTACTCTAAAGGATTCGATTCCTGCTGTGCTCTATGTGTGAGGAGTTTCTGTAATTGTGTGGGCTTTCCGTGAGCAGTGCGGTTTCCACCCACAGACTAAAGGCAGGATTGTTTGTGTCTGCATGCCCCGCGATAGGCATCTAGCCAGAGTTCTGCCTGTGCTGTGCTGCGTTCTTCCTGGCTCCAGGCTCACCACAACCCTGCTCTGGCTCAGTAGCTGTGGGAAGTGTAGAGGTGGCTGTTCAGGGACTTCCTCCACCACTAAGAATAACTAAAGCTGGCCAGGAGAGAGGAGGCAGTGAGCTTCATAGTGATGAGGGCTATGCAATGATAACCTGTAGGTTGCTGGTTCCAATCCTATGAGAGGCCCAGCTGATCAAGGTCTAGAACTGCTGTAACAAAATGTTCTGCTCTCTGAATTGCTGCAATCCACTGTTATTTTGTGTAAAACTGTCAACTCAGCTAAATGTAAAGTGATTACTGCCTACTGCTTCATAGCTTCAGAATCAAACATATAATTACAAAACAGGTAAAACCGGTGGCATTCAATTTTATAGTGAACCTTGGAAGACCGGGATGACATTTAAGAAATATTTGTGTGGACTGTAAGCCCATTATTCTATTCTGGAGCAAAAAAAAAAAACTAAACCTGTGAAATGTAGAATAATACATTTCAGGAGTGGACCAGACTCACTCAGGAATCAGGAATGTGTGAGACAGTGAAACACAATAGACTGGGGAGTTTCCACTACAGTTCTTTGTTTCACTCATATAACACATTTTAAGGGATGCTGCAGAGAACCACGCAAATAGACTCACTTTGCGGTATGTACATATGAAAGTTACCCATGACAAATGTTATGAAAACGATGCTGCCCTTTTGTCTTTCTCACTTTAGCATGTGCACACACACATACACACACACACACCTATCTAAATGGGGACCAGCCATTCATTTCTATGGGAAAAACTATAATCCCAATCACGACACCCTTTACCTCCACCCATCCCTAACCTTAACCATAAGTAACCAACCCAAGTACAAGACTTTTGGCACTTTTACTTTTTTGATTGCATTCACAGATTTTTATAAAACTGAGGTTATCCAAATGGGGACCTCAAAAGATGTCCCCAAAAGTAGGGAAATTTCAGGTTTTACTGCACTTTGGGGACAATTTGGTCCTCAAATGTGATCTATGCAAACCGGCACACACACACACACACACACACACACACACCCACAACACACACACAGGTTTGTAATTATATCTTTGTGGGGACTCTCCATTCATTTCTTTGGGGAAAACGCTAATCCCAACATGACGACCTTAACCCCTACCCAGCCCTAACCTTAATCATAAGTAAGCAAACTAAATGAAGGCATTTTTACTTTTTTGATTGCATTCACAGATCTTTGTGAGAACCTGAAAATGGTTCCCTCAATGTCAAAATAACAAGTTTTTATCATATTGTGGGGAACATTTGGTCGCCATAATGTAATATAAAGATAATCTACACACACACACACACACACACACACACACACAGAAAATGTTGCCTTTCATCACACTAAACATAATGGGAAAATCCATTGACCTTTACCATTAGCTCAGCCATGAGGTGTCCCTTCCATTTGCTTCTTTGTTCTTTCAAGAGACACCCAGCCTACGATCATGACATATACACACAGACACAGACACACACACACACACACACACACACACTGAAACACACATACACCGTAGCAGCTGATACATGCCATACTGTTCCTTCCTGAATTATCAGGTACACAAATCAGGAAGCCAACCTTGTAGCTAGCTTGCAGTGATGAATGCAATCACCCCAGGTTTTCCTCAAGTTTTCTCAGTTACCGGGGGTTAAATGCAACTTTGTTAGCCTAAGGCAGGAATAATAGATAGCAGAGAGATCAATCACATCTCCAGCTCTTTAAAAATTTAGCGCCATTCTCCGCGCGCTGTGCCTGATGAGGGCTTGCTCATCAGTCCTGGTGATGAGCTTTCCAGCTGGGGGGGCCTCACACACAAGGCACACCCAGGTCTCCTTTGTCCAATATGAGCTCACATAATGGCACGACTTGGTGAGCACTGAGCTTTATAGATATTTAGAGCTTTATAGATATTACTAGATATTTCTTCCCAGTTCGCTACTCTCCAAATATAAAAATGAACAATGAATCACGGGCCTTTACAACGGGTCTTTAATCAGTTGCCATTTGTTTCCAATCACTTTCTGGAACTCAAGACACTCATGGGATACAGTCAGAGGCAGAGGAGGAGTATGACACCAGAGGGGGCTGACATGCTGGGGGCGGGGGGTGCAGTAAAATAAAGGTAAATTGGTAAAGATGGTAAATTGTTGCGAAACTATCATGATGGGCCCAGGACCAAAAGCCGCTCTGCCAACCCTGCCTCCTACACTATGGGATACAGTACACCGTGTATAAGGTGATGAGAGCATCGAAAAGGAGAATCATAGATGGATTCAGATTCATTTTGTTTTAATTTACAATTAATCCCTACTAAAAAATAGTTGTATTAAATCTGAAAACTTTCATACGTCCCACTATTGAAAGGTAGACTGCCATGATGTCGGTCTGTGTGATTCACCCGCTTTGATTGGTTCACAAGGATCCTTTGCGAGAATGGTTCTCGCTGGAAAAAACTCTGAATACTGGGGTGGAATATGAAGAACACACTGTATGGGTTGAGCACTCAAGATCACCCACCCTCTGAACGCTGCCAGTACGGGTACAGGAAAGGGGCTGAACATGTCAGATCATGTACTCTCACAACACTGCCACTATAGTTACAGGGAAAGGGGTTAGCACACTAGATTACCCACCCCCAGGACACTGCCACTACAGATACAAGAAAGGAGCTGACCATGCGAGATCACACACCCTTACAGTGCTGCGACTACAGGTACAGGAATGAGCTGAGCATGCAAGATCACGCACCCTTACAACGCTGCAACTACAGGTACAGGAAAGAGACTTATCATGCCAGATCACGTACCCCCACAACAAAGTCAATAGAGGTACAAGAAAGGGGTTGAGCATGCAAGATACCCCCATCAGAACGCTGCCACTACAGGTACTGGAAAGGAACTGAGGATGCCAGCTCACGAACCGTCAGAATGCTGCCACTACAGGTACAGGAGTGAGCTGAGCACAACAGATCATGCACTCTCAGAGTCCTCAGGTTCTCATGTTCTCTCACTCATCGACAAAAAACAGGAGGCAGACAAAGCCTCATGATCTTAGTCTGTCCAGAAACGGCAAAGTGCAAAGGGACACACAATTAAATCTGCTAAACAAGCACTGCTGTTGGAAGCTGGCTTTCATTGCCGGGGGTAGGAATATCTCCTAATCAATGGCAGGGCTGCTCGCCCTAAGTAGGCATCATTAAGGCTTCAGTAATTACTTCACTCCCTCTCTCGCCTGCTGCAGGACCTCTGGCGGTCAGCGGCCCCCCTTCCCCCGCATGAGGCCGCTCGGGGTTGCTGGGATGTCCTCTCTGCCTCATCTTTTTCCCATCCATCACTCCCCACGCTCCTCTAATCTGTGTCCTGTCCACTTTTTCCAGCCCACTGCCATCTCTGTCACTTCCTGTCCATTGCTCTATTTCACTATTGTCTCCTTTTCCTGTCTCTCATTCCTTTTAGGTCTGTGTCCATCCCTCTTTCTCATCCCCCATCGCCTCCCTCTGCCTGCACTCCTTCCATTGCCAAGAGAGGAAAACCCTGTTTCCAAAGCAGATGTTCGATCTCCGGCAATCCCAGCCTAATACTGTAAATAAAGACTTTTTATGTTTGTGTCTGTATCCTCCCATTATCCCCACCCTCTCTGTTTCTCTCTCTCCCTATTTCTGCTTCTATTATTGCC